GTGGATCATTGAAGGACGTGGGTGTTTACCTGGATTCTTCGTTGTCATCTGTTAAGACACCTCAACCAAATTTTCATATTCCTTATCTTTACGCAGTTTGAAAATATCTTGATTAGTTACATAATCATAAATGAAAAGATTATTAGAGGAAAACTGTAACTGGCACGCTGAAATTATTTTAATCCAGTAACTGAGAAATAAAAGAGAAATGACCAGGAAGGAAAAAAATACAGTAGAGATTAACCAAAAAAGTCAGACTTCAGGAGGGTGGGTACCCGAGTCAACCAAGTGCTAACACCAAAGATTTTTGATGATGCATATAAGGAAGATCCTATTCATTGCAGTTTACAGGTTTATAGTTTGTAAGTGGAACTTGCAGGCCAGAGTGATATTCACATACAGTATAATAGCGGCTTCAAATCAAGCAGGAGAAAGCTAGTAGGCCCACATATGAGAGAATGGGTCTGTGTGGTCAGTGTGCACTGCATAAAAAAAATCCTGCAGCACGCAGTGCATAGAGAAAAAAACTCCGACCATGTTTTTGGATTAAAACGCTGACTTTGCGGTGCATTTTCCTATAGTATTTATGGTTGTATTCTCATTTTCTTGGTCTCATTTGATAGAATGGAAAACATGTTACAGAAATAGAGATGATTTTGACTAGTTTCACGAAGAAAACGACCTTAAAATTGAGCTCAAAGTAGCGGAAATGTTCGATTTTTACCAATGTTCAAGAGTAAGCAAATCACACCACACATCCAATACACGTAAACTGGGGAGTCTAATATTCTTTCACTAGTGCACTGATATTATTTATACCATTTTTACAATAATGCAGTTGTCTGCATAAGAGTAAATCTTCTATTTTTTGTGCGAATAAAAAATCAAAATAGAAAGCAAGCGAAATGTAAGAGGGGCCTGGAGACATGACTAATGAACAGAGGATATGTTATTTTAGTGCCAAGAATGTCTGCATTGTTTATTCTGGACCCTATTTTGAAATTGCTATCTTTTTTAATTTGCATGAAATTGGCCAAATTGCCAATTTCTGACCACTTTATTGGGTAATTGAAATTGGTAAATGGGCAATTCTAAAAGAAATAGCTATGAGTTTGGTTGACTGGAACAATGGAATTGGCCGAATTTAGGGCTCCAAGTCAGTGAAAATGCCGATGCATATACAGTGGACCCCCACCTTACGATATTATTTCATTCCAGAAGTATGTTCAGGTGCCATTACTGAACGAATTTGTTCCCATAAGGAATATTGTGAATTAGATTAGTCCATTTCAGACCCCCAAACATACACGTACGAACGCACGTACATAAATACACTTCCATAATTGGTCGCATTGGGAGCTGATCATAAAGCGGGGGTCCACTGTATATCGCCGAGATTGCTAACTTCGCGGGAGCGTAATTCCGTAAGTTTTCAATCAAATCTCGTATTTTTGGTGTCATTACCATCGGGAAAGAATTCTCTACCATTTCATAAGAATTTTTTTTTTTTTTTTTTTTTTTCAAAAAAATTTTTTGACACCAGGAGACACTTCAGGATTTGGGGTTGTGACAGTCAAAGGGTTAATAGAAAAGTTTTCAAGCTGTTGAATGTCACATGATTCCCGATTAATCAATGATACAATGGCTATTTATTTTAGGGAAGTAAACAAAATTCTTGTACTATTGTCCAAAATATTACTATTACTATTTTTAACCCTTCAATAATTAACCCTTTGACTCTCGCAACCCCAAATCCTAAGGTGTCTCCTGGTATCGCAAAATATTTGGGGGGAAAAAATCTTATGAAATGATAGAGAATCTTTTCCCAATGATAATGATGCCAAAAGTATGAAATTTGATGGAAAACTTATGGAATTACACTCTTGTGAAGTTAGCAACCTCAGCGACATTTACGCATCGGCGATCTCGCCCACTTTGAGCCCTATTTTCAGCAAATTCCATTGTTCCAGTTGACCAAACTCAGCTATTTCTTTAGAACTCCATTTATTATATCAATCGAGTACAAGAAACCGCCCATTTACCGAGTTCAACTACCCAATAAAGTGGTCAGAAATTGGCAAATTTCATGCAAATAAAAAAAAAATGTCAGTTTCAAAATAGGGTCCAGAAGGAACAATGCAGACATCCCTGGTATTAAAATAACATTTTCTCTGTTCATCGGTCACATCTCCAAGCCCCCTGTTATAATACTCTTGCTTTCTATTTTGAATTTTTATTCACACAAAAAATAGAAGATTTACTGTTATGCAGACTACTGCAATATTATAAGAACTGTATAAATAACGTCAACCCATTCGTGACTGCGTATTAGAAAGACTAGTTGGACATTTACTGGACAATGACATCATTTGTTTACTCCTGAACATCGGCAAAAATCAAACATTTCTGCTACTTTGAGCTCCATTTCAAGATGTTTTTCATAGTAAAACCAATCAAAATCACTTCGATTTCTATAATATGTTTTCCATTCTATCAAATGAGACCAAGAAAACAAGAATACAACCATAAATATTATAGGAAATACACCACAAATTCGGCGCTTTAATCCAAAAACACGGTCAGAGTTTTTTTTTTCTCATTAGGCACTGCGTGCTGCAAGATTTTTTTTATACTGCGCACACTGACCACACAGACCCATTCTCTCACATGTGGGCCTACCAGCTTTCTCCTGCTTGATTTGAAGCCGCTAGAATTTTTGAGTATATATACATCAAACACACTGGTTCGTAAGACATTTATACATGACAAACAGTCAAAGGGTTAAATATGGTTGATATCCTGATGTCTAAAAAAAAAAAAAGTTGGCAAAATAAGACCTAATAAAACTATTAACCACTTGCTAAAATAAACAGTTATGGTACAGTAAATTAATAATAAGACATAAGCACTGTAAATGATTTTGAAGATTTGCAAACAAAAAGATAATGCAAACAATTAAAACTTATTTAAATCAATACAAAGAGAAAAAGAAAACTGATAAGTCAACACAGAAGAAACAAAAATATGGGTAGAAAATAATGAACAAAATAGAAACTACAGTAAAAATAATGAATTGAGACATGTTAAACCAAACAACAGAAACTGAGACAAGAGGCAGATTCTTCTTAAATAAAAAATGGACAAGAGCCTTTCGAATGTTTTCAAGCAAAGTAAAAAAAAAACCTTAACCCCTTGACTGTCGCAACCCCAAATCCTGAGGTGTCTCCTGGTGTCGCGCAAAAAAAAAAAAAAAAAAATCTTATGAAATGATAGGGAATCTATTCCCGGTTGTAATGACACCGAAAGAACAAAATTTGATGGAAAACTGACGAAATTTCACTCTCACAAATTTAGCGACCTCAGCGATATTTACGTATCGGAAATTTCGCCCACTTTGAGTCCTATTTTCAGCTAATTCCATTGTTCCAGTTGACCAAACTCATAGCTATTTCCTTAGAACTCCATTTGTTCTATCGATTGAGTACAAGAAACTGCCCATTTACCGATTTCAACTACCCAATAACATGGTCAGAAATTTGCAATTTGGCCAACTTCATGAAAATTAAAAAATATGACAATTTCAAAATAAGGTCCAGCATGAACAATACAGACATTCCTGGCTCTAAAATAACATTTTCTTTCTTTATCAGTCATGACTCCAGGCCCCTCTGATATTACTCTTGCTTTCTATTTTGAATTTTTATTCAAACAAAAAATAGAAGAATTACTGTTATGCAGACTACTGCAACACTGTAATAATTGTATAAATAGTTTCAACCCATTCATGACTGCATATTAGAATGGCTACTTGGACATTTATTGGAAAATGACATTTGTTTACTTTTGAACATCAGCAAAAATCAATCATTTCCCCTACTTTGAGCTCCATTTCAAGGTTCTTTTCATAGTAAAACCAATCAAAATCACCTCTATTTCTATAATATGTTTTCTATTCTATCAAATGAGACCAAGAAAACAAGAACACAACCATAAATACTATATGAAAATAGACCACAAAGTCGGCATTTTAATAAAAAAAAAACGGTCGGAGTTTTTTTTTCTCATTATGCACTGCGTGCTGCAGGATTTTTTTTTATATGGTGCACACTGACCACACAGACCAATTCTCTCACATGTGGGCCTACCATCTTTCTCCTGCTTGATCTGAAGCCTCTAGAATTTATGAGTACAGTATATATATACGTCAAACACGGTGGCTCGTAAGACATATATATACGACTGAAACAGTCAAAGGGTTAAATATGTAGATGAGATAAAAGAAAGTTTTACTATGGCTAACAAACAAAAACTAAAAAGTTATCAACAATCATAAGCAAATAATAAAAAGCTGTCAGCTGGAAAAATGATTATTGGCTTTGGTTGCATTAATTTTTATTTTGATTTTATACTGTAAATTGTAATTACTATTGTTCACCATGACATACTTAAATAGTAAACTACTGATACAACAGATTAATACAGGGAAACAGGTGGCTGGTAATGGTAATTGTTGTGAATAGAGAAGAGATTATTTTGCTATAATGGTAATAGCGAACAATTCTGTAACCACCTTTGTCCCCTGTTTATGAATCGACTGACTCAACGGAGGTTTTTGTTCCTCATTTCGAAAGCCTATCATATAGAGGTCTCTTACATTTAGGGATGTATCTTTTAAAAGAAAAATTAGAAAAGAGAACAATGTTTTCTTTAAAACTCACAAGAGAATTTTACTGAAAATTATATGGAAATGTGCAAAAAAATATCAAATATTAAATACTGTAATGTTCTGAAGTTATTTCCTAGACTGCAGTTACTGTATACATGTACTACTACTACTACTATAGTACTTAAAAATCAACTTTTAATGGCCAAAATATTGACAATATTTTTTTAGGGATATTTAAAAAGCAATGCTGTATATTGTACTGTTAACTGCCTTCTTAAAATAGAGTAGTGGGGTATCCTGTTAGTGCCAGAGCAAAGGGGATGAATTAACATACCTCTCTCCTATTAGAATCTTGCAGACAGAGACCTGATGGTCCTGCAACAGCTGTGTACTGCCTATCATTATGCTCCTGGTGGGAAGGCGAATGCCCATTTGTTGCTTCTGATCGCAACCGTTTACTGGTATCTTCACAAGTACTAGATTCGTCATCACTACCCCCTGTAGACACTTTTCGTCGTTTGTGAACAGGCGAGGATTCCCGGGAGGATGTCCGTGATTGGTAGGTAGAGACATGAGATGAGATTAATGCTGGCAATCCTGGATGTAGGGCTGTCAGAGGAGGTAGGGCTGTCAGTGGAGGTGGAGGTCTATCTTCTGACCCAATTTTTCGACGAGGACTAATGCTTTTTACAGCACTTGACGAGTCTGTGGTACTTGTGGAAGAAGCAGTGGTTGTTGTGTGTGTGTGGCTAACTGACTCACAAGACTCTCTTCTTTTAGGTTGTGGAGGGGAGAGTGCTCCATGAAGGCGATTATCTGCCAAGCCCTTTATCTGTAGCTCTCTGGCAGTGCACAATAGTGCAGCAAGGTCATGCTGCTCAACAGACACTTCTCCATTATAGATAAACTCTATAAGAGTGCGAAGTTCAGAGTACCTGACATCTTTAAGGATTACAATGGGATGTCTGTCTGGATGTGCTACAAGTAGCTCCTTGAAGTATGGGGAGCATGCTGACAACACCAGTCGATGAGCCTTCAAATGGCGCCCCTCACATGCTAATGTCACATCTACAAATGTTTCTGACTGCAGTAAGGAGTTGAATACACGGATCAGGTTAGCCCAGTGATTGTTCCACTTGAGGCAGTACTGGTCACTTCCCATCATCAGGAGCGCTGAAATAAACAAATAAGTATTTATTTTCAACACAATACTAAGCATATATTAACAGCTTAAATTCTACTTTTATGTGAAATTATAATACTGTACATCAATAGTAATTTACACAAATACCATATACTGCACAACCGAAAAATAAATAGAATAACATAAGAACTTTTAAACATTCAAACATTTCAAATGTAAGATGTCTTTATGTAATAAATTATATGCATTTCTACTTCTATATACACAATATATAAAACTTCAAATGTGTGTGTGCCACCTTCTTGACCCATCAAATGAGATCAATCAAGTTGGCACATTAATCAATAAAATGATCACATATGCACTTGATCAATGTGATACACACACACACACACACACGACAGTAATCTATGTACAAAATTTGTAAAAAAAAAAGATAAAAAAAAAAAAAGGACTGGGGAACCTAACCCTCAAATATTTTGTAAGTTTATGTTATCAGGTATGGTATCTTTATCTATCTATATATATATCTCTCTCTCTCTCTATCCTTCATTCCAGCAAGTACATTCTGGTGCTCTAGGTCATTCCTAATATTTACATGTTTTACTGATTCACTGCTGGCAATAGACAACCTCTAGATTTTCACCTCTAATAACACTCATGTTTGGAAAGAGCTTGAAGCAAAGAGAAATATTCCAGATGTGAAAAAGTATGTTACTTAAATAGTAAACCACTACTGCCATTACTTCTCTTGCTTTGAAAGATCTCATAATCTAATCTAAAATCTTGCTGGCCTCTTGTGACATTTGCTTAGTGAATTCTTTAACCCTTTCAGGGTCGACAGGCCCTCTCCGAGACTTGTTCTCAGGGTCGGCCAATTTTCAGAATAAAAAAAAAAAATTCTTATGAAAAGATAGAGAATCTTTTCCCGATCATAATGACACCAAAAGTATGAAATTTGATGGAAAACTTACGGAATTATGCTCTCGTGAAGTTAGCGGTCTCGACAATGCTTACGCATCGGCGATTTTGCCCACTTTGAGCCCTATTTTCGGCCAATTCCTGTGTACTAGTCGACAAAAATCATTACTATTTCTCTAGAACTCCATTTTTTCTATTGAATGAATACAAGAAACCACCCATTTACCGATTTCAACTATCCAATACAGTGGTCAGAATTTAGCAATTTTGCCAATTTCACACAAATTTCAAAAGATGCCAATTTCCAAAGAGGGTCCAGAATAAACAAGAAAGACATTCCTGGCACTAAAATAACATTTCCTCTGTTCGTTAGCCACACCCCCAGGCCCCTCTTATATTTCTTTGGCTTTCCACTTTCAATTTTTATTCTTACAAAAAATAGAAGATTTACTGTTATGCAGACTACTGCATTTGTGTAGAAATGGTATAAATAATATCAGAGCACTTGTGAATGAATATTAGACTCACCAGTTGACGTGTATTGGATGCTTGGCTTGATTTGTTTACTTTTGAACTTTGGTAAAAATCAAACATTTCTGCTACTTTGAGCTCAATTTCAAGGTACTTTTCATTGTAAAAACTGTCAAAATCATCTCAATTTCTGCAATATGTCTTCCATTCTATAAAATGAGACCAAGAAAACTAGAATACAACAACAAATACCATACGAAAATACAGTGCAAAGTCGCTGTTTTATTCTAAAAACACGGTCAGTTTCTTTTTTTTCTCATTATGCACTGTGTGCTGCAGGATTTTTTTTATACTGCGCACAATGACCACATAGACCCATTCTTTCATATGTATGCCTACCAGCTTTCTCCCACTAGCTTTGAGGGCGCTAGAATTTAGGCGTACTAGTACGACAAAAACCTGGGTCATAAGCCGTACTAGTACGGCCGAAACCCTCAAAGAGTTAAATGATACATAATCGGATATTATTCCTGCAGTGCTGAATTAGAAATTCTCTCTTGGTTGCAATGTAAACAGTAGGTGTACTTCCACAAGGCTAAACAATGTGATTAGTTTATCTTCTCCCAGGGAGAAAAAGGACCTTCCTTTCCCCAAGTGGGCTCCACTGGAGGTTCCTTGCACCAGAAATTGGTGGAAACAGTATTCATAACTTTCAATCATGGTACCTATCTGATCATGTAAATTCAATAAGAAATATGCCACTCCAAGGGAGAATAGACCCTCCATGAGAGCCCCAATGGAGACTCACTTCTGCAACCCTTCCAGATCAAAAGAGTGTGCCCAAGGAACAGCAGAAACCACCTGTTAAATCACAAATACAAAACACTCCTATTAGTCTCACCTACTTAGCTAGTTGTGAGAGGTAGGATCTTCCTGCTCTAGTCATGTTGGTTTGAGTTATGTAGACCATGCTTTTCCTTAGAATAAGTATGCCGAAATTTGAGCACCCTCAAAAACTTGTGTGTACGGTATGTTAGTCCTATTCATCTAATACAGTGGACCCTCGTTTTTTGTAAGGCTCGAAAGTTGTAACTTTCGAAAATCGTAGTGCTTTTTTCATCAAAATATTGATTCGAAAATCGTTGTTGGACTCGCAAATAGTCGTTTGTCTCGGACACGTACGCACGGCCCCGAGCAGCCTCACACTTCATTCCCAGCCAGTGTGCCATTGTTAATCAGTGAGTGACGATGGTCCCACGAGTTTATACGATACATTTCATAACATTCCATTCGTTTTAGTGCTTGCAACTGCTAAATAAGCCACCATGGCTCCAAAGAAAGCTTCTAGTGCCAGCCCTTTGGTAAAGAATTTGAGAAACACACATAATTTAAGAAAAAGTTTGTAGAAAAATACAAAAATGATGGTGGTAGAGTGGTAGCAGTTGTGGTAGTGGTAGAGGGTGGTAGTGATGGTAGAAGAGGATGGTAGTGATGGTGGTAGAGGGTGGTAGTGATGGTGGTAGCAGTTGTGACAGTGGTAGAGGGTGGTAGCAGTTGTGATAGTGGTAGAGGGTGGTAGTGATGGTGGTAGCAGTTGATAGTGGTAGAGGGTAGTACTGATGGTGGTAGCAGTTGTGATAGTGGTAGAGGGTGGTAGTGATGGTGGTAGAGGGTGGTAGTAGTTGTGATAGTGGTAGAGGGTGGTAGCAGTTGTGATAGTGGTAGAGGGCATTAGCCTAATGACCCCTCCCCCCTGAATTAATCCAATGACCCACCCAGTCTGGTCACCTCCACTCAAGGATGGAGCACGGCACCAGACCCAGCAGCACAAGCTAGTCAGGTCCAACTCACACCCACCCACACCCACTCGTGTATTTATCTAACCTATTTTTAAAACTACACAACGTTTTAGCCTGAATAACTGTACTTGGGAGTTTGTTCCACTCATCCACGACTATTACCAAACCAGTGCTTTCCTATATCCTTCCTGAACCTCAATTTTTCCAACTTGAAACCATTGCTGCGAGTCCTGTCTTGGCTGGAAATTTTCAGCACGCTATTTACATCCCCTTTATTTATTCCTGTTTTCCATTTATACACCTCGATCATATCCCCTCTAATTCTAAGCCTTTCGAGAGAGTGCAGATTCAGGGCCCTCAGTCTATCCTCATATGGAAGATTTCTGATACATGGGATCATCTTTGTCATCCTCCTCTGTACGTTTTCCAGAGCATTTATATCCATTCTGTAATACGGTGACCAGAACTGAGCAGCATAGTCTAAATGAGGCCTAACCAAGGATATATAGAGTTGAAGAACAACCTGAGGACTTCTATTATTTATACTTCTAGATATGAAGCCAAGAATTCTGTTAAGCTTTATTGCGAACACTAATGCACTGTTGTCTTGGTTTTAGATTACTGCTAACCAGAACTCCTAAATCCTTTTTGCAATCAGTAGTATTAAGATCTACATTATTTAGTTTATATGTGGCATCGTTATTTAACTGTCCAACATTTAGAATTTTGCATTTGTCAATATTAAACTGCATCTGCCACTTCTCCAACCATTGCATCAGTCTATTCAAAACATCCTGAGTGCTCTAGTGTCCTCATTAGAATGAATTGGATGGCCTATTTTGTGTCATCAGCAAATTTGCTTATGTTGCTATTTATTCCCTCATCTGTGTCATTTATGTAAACTGTGAACAACAACGGGCCCAACACTGACCCCTGAGGACACCGCTTGTGACGTGCCCCCATTCTGATTTCTCCCCATTTACGCAAACACTCTGCTGCCTATTTGTCAGCCATGCCTCTACTCAGGAAAAAATTTCTCCTCCTATTCCGTGTGCCTTAAGTTTCCTCAATAGCCTCTGGTGTGGAACTCTATCAAAAGCCTTACTGAAGTCCATATACACAATATCATATTCATTACCATGATCTACCTCCTCAAACATCTTTGTGAAAAAAGTTAGTAAATTCGTAAGACAGGAACGCCCCTTTGTAAAACCGTGTTGAGATTCATTAATCAATCTGTGCCTATCAAGATGGCTACGAATTGCTTCGGCAATTATTGATTCCATAAATTTTCCCACTATGGAGGTAAGGCTTATTGGTCTATAGTTGGATGGCTTATGCTCTCAGTGGCCCTTGTACACTCAACAAATTACAACACCTCTCGTGACATACATGACTTATTTTATCCATTCTAGAGTATATTCCATGTTTCTATGTTATTAATATTGTTTAGTATGTCATATTAGTTGAATTGTGATAGATAAATAAGCCGTAGAGTTGATATTAGCGTCATATTCTCCAACAATAAACTCACCTCCCTCCCTCTGCCCCGTCTGCCATACACAAACAAGAGTCTTCAATAAAGATAAGTGTGATGTTAAATGTTCATTTATACATTTTATTAGTGCTTTACATTTATTTGGCATTGTTTTCTGCATTTAAATCTATATTTAAGCTAGGGAAGTGACCCCTGAAGTGATCTAGAGTCTTTATGGAGGGGGATTCCCCTTCCAAACAATAACCTCTTCCCTCTCTCCTCCTCCGTGTCTTCCATTCATCAACAACAGTCTTCAATAAAGGTAACTGTCATGTTGAATGTTCATTCTTTTGTGCATGTA